GGTCCTTGACCTTGAGAAGCTCAGAGTCTGAAGGGGCAGACAACAAGCAAACAACTACATTCAAACCAGCTATATACAAGATAAATATGAAATAATTAACCAGAAGAAGGCACTAGAATTAGGAGATATTGGGAAAGGCTTCCTGTAGAATATGAGTTTCAAGGTGGGACTTGAAGGATGCTAGTGAAATCAAGAGGCAGAGATTAGAAGGAAAAGAATTCCTGGCAGGGGGAAAACCAGAGAAAATGCCTGGAGTTTCAGAGCATCTTGTACAACAAGGCTGGTGCCACTGGATAAAAGAATACATGAGAAAAGTTCAAGGTGTAATAATGCTGAAAAAGTAGGGGACAGCTAGGTTGTGAAGGTATTTGAAAACCAAACAGAATGTTTATTTATTTATTTATTTGATAGCAAAAGTGATAGAGAGCCACTAAAGTTTATTGAGTGTGTTTGAGGGGAGCAGAGAGAATGACATGATCAGACCTGGGCTTTAGAAAAATTACTTTGGTGACTGAGTGGAGGATGGACAAGAGTGTAGAGAGCCTTGTGGCAGGCAGACTAACCAGCAAGTCACAGTAATAGTCCAGATGTGAGGAGCTGAGGGCCTCTACCAGGATGGTGGCTATATCAGAGTATTGCTAGGACTTGGTGGCATGAGACCCATTCCTGGAATGTCTCTGAAAAGCCACAATAGTCATGGTTGACTTCAACTATCAGGATAGCTACTGGAGTTCTCTCCTTAACCAAAGTAAAATATACTTGCATACATGTATATTATTTGTGTATAAACATACATGTAAGTGCATGCATGTGTATACATTTGTGTAATATAAATATAAATGAATTAATGGTAGCCATATCTTTCAAATGGTAGAAACACCAAGTAGTGAGGTTTCTGCTCTGAATCTGATCATCATCAAGAAGGAGTGACTGGTTACTGCAGTGGAAATTAGGGGTACCTGGCCAATGGGAAGAGGGAGGAACCACTCCATTTTTAGAATTTGTAATAGAAGAGAAGAAAACTGGGTATGGTTTGACATGAGTTCATGATTTTTAGAAGTAGATTTCCAAGAGTTCAGAAAATAATTACTATCCCATGAGCTAAAATTATATACATAACATACTCCAAGGAGGGATAGAAAGTTCTCAAGAATTAAATTCTGAAGATAGAAGATAAATGAGTAGGAAAACTATGCATTGTCTATACAGGGTCAATCAAGATGAACAGGGAACTCATTAATCAATTTAGATCTTTTTAAAGATATGTATAGAAGACAAAAGGATGAGTAAATACAAAAGAGTGTCATGGTTCTGTAGGAATAACATCAAGAGTGGCTAAGGATAACAAAACAGGGGGTTTTAGGTTTATTTGAGGAAAAGAGAAGGCTCAATGAAAGCTAGCACTTCTGCTGAGGTAGTGGAAAAGGATGATATAACAATAATGGATGACAGAGAAAAGGAGGGAAGCTAAACTATTCTCTTTGGGTTTTCTCTGACAAGGAGAATGATCCTTGGACTGAACAAAAATAAAATCACTAGTAGAAATTTGATATCTAAGATAAGCCATTTAAGAAAAATCCAAAAAGATGTTGATGGGTTAGATTAACAGTGTACAGAATCTTATAAGATGAAATTTAATAAGGACATGTGTCAATTTACACCTAGATTTTTTAAAAATAACTTTCCAAGTACAAGATGAAGGCAGTATTTATTGCCAGATATTTTTCCCTTAAACAAATTCTGAATATTTTAGTGGACTACAAGCTCAATAAGAATCAACAGTGTGATTTGGCAACCTTAAAGGTTAATGTGACAAGGACTGCATTGGGAGCAGTATACATTCAACACAAGGGAGATGATAGTCACATCATACTGTGCCCTGATTAGACCACAGGTAAAATATCATATCTAGTGTTGTACCCCCCATTTTTGGGAAAGACATTTATAAGCTGGAGAGTGCTCCAAAAGTGCGAACATGATAATGAAGAGATTCCATTTTATGTCATGTGAATATCTATTGAAGGAACTGGACATATTTAGCATGGAGGAAAAAAAGAAAACAAATGTGAGAAGAAGCATATGTTAGCTGAGTTCAAGCATTTTTGGACTGTCAAACCATGAGTGAATAATTTGTTCTGTTTAGCCCCAGAGGTATAATGAGAAGAAACGGGTGGAAGTTACAAAGGAAGGAATTTAGGTTTGATGTTAAGGAAAACAACAATAATAACAACTTCCTAAGAGTTAGAAGTATCCAAATATCAGAAGAGCTGGTTCAGGAAGCACAGGAGAGCTTCAGGCAAAGGCTGGAAGACCACTTATTAGATATATTTTAGAGGGGATTCTTGTTCATTTATATACTGGAGTAAACAACCTCTGAGATTGCTTTCAACTATGAAATTCTGTGATTCAGTGAAGTCCTAGTGTTTCTTTGTTCTTTGGCACAGACTCTCAGATGAAAATATTTAGATTCTGGAACTGGCAGAGAATATTTGGAGCCTCTGGTTGCTTGTTTTTCTTTCACTGATATTACCATCATATTATCCACAATAAAGGATCCAAGATATCTAGAGATATTAGTATCTCTGCATATGAATAGCATTAAAATATTAATGTTATTACACTGTATAATATAATATAACAAAATATAATATCATTGTGTTGCATTATTATATTAATATCTCTAGATATTTTTGGTCACATATTGTGAATAATATAAGTAACAATCAAAAGCATAGGTATCCTCAAAGAGAAACTGAGAAAAGAAAGAAAATTTATGGTTCAGATTTTATATCTTTTCTTGACTCAATTTTTTGGGGTCCCAGTATACTTGAATATCTGTGATATGAAGCCAATTCTTTTGACTTTATTGTCTGTGATTTAATTGACTTTTAGGTGTTGAGACTGGGTGGGAATACAGCATAATACCTTTCATATTGAATGTGTTTGTTACTTATTTCTTAAATCTGCTAGATGGAGAATGTTTGTTTTTTTAGATTTTTTAGTATTTTTTGAAATGGAACATGTAATCAGCCCTCATTCTTATTTTGCATCTTAGAAGGAACTGATCTAAACGTGAAATGCCATTTTAGAGTCAATGGATTCTATATATGTTTTATGGAACTAGATGCTTAATAAAATCTGAGTTGATTTTTATTTCTTAAAAAAATTCAAAGAAAAGAACAAAAAAGATAGCTCTATAGTTTCTAGACTGTGTGCTCACCCTTATGTTAAACTTGATTGTATCTAAACATTTGTCATTTGTTAGTCTTTATTATCAAAAATCCTCATTAAAAATGTCTATAGTATGCCATTCAATCAGACCTACTCTAATACTGGCCAAAACTAATAATCTTTGGGGGGAAAAACAACTCTGAAATCCTTACTGGCAATAAGCATTATATTCCTAGACAAACCACTTCTCTTCCAGCTGTGTTTGTGCACCTCTCAGAATAATTAACCTTACAGTTTTGCCCTTAAAACATTACTTTCGGTTAAAAAATGGTCTCAAATAGTGATCTGCTGGCAATTCTAAATCATTTTTTGTTGTAACAACTTATCATTTGATTTTGCAATGCTCCACCTTTTCCTTTCCCCTTATTTAAGAAGGTTCTCTATGACCTATATTTATTTCTTAAGTGAAATTGAAATAAAATTCAGTGAATTTTGTTAAGGTGATTTGTGCACATCTCTTGAGATATCCTAGAATATTACAAAACTGTGATTGTGATTCACATTTTCAAAATGAGTTCTCCTGTCAGATTGCCATGCATGGAAAAACCTGGAAAGCAGCAATTTATTTTTCTCACTTTTGGTTACTTATAAAAATACTGTCCCTTGATGGAAAATATAGAAAACAATAAGTGGATTCAGATTGAACATGTACATTGTTCATATAGAATAAAACAATTTCATATTTTTCCAGATGACTGTCTGTGAGTTACCTTGGATGTCTTGTTAAATATCTTTTGTGGTACAAGGGTACATTTCACCTTAAGTTTGTGATATAGTCTGTGTAAAATTTTATTTCAAATAATGATTATATGAATCACCTAAAATAAAAAAAATACTAGAGAGATGTATTTTAGAACAAACTTAAGAAGAGGCATGGCCATGGTCTAGTTAAGATCTGGGTTCAGATATTACCTATAACACATACTAGTTGTGTGACCATGAACAGGTCACTTAATAATCTCTCAGTGCCCCCAGAGAATTTTCTAAGAGTAGATAATGTAGATGAGTTGACTATCTGAATTGGTGGAGGGAGTTTTCATCCTGGGATTTTTTCTCAGTGAAATCACAGGCATATATGTATGTACATATATGTACATATATACCCATGTCTGTGTGTTTATATATGAATATAGATATTTATTTAAATTCATCAAATGTTGTTCAGTTGTTTCAGTTGTGTCCAACTCTTTGTGACCCCATTTTGAGGTTTTCTTGACAAAGATGTTTGTTTTCCATTTCCTTTTCCATTGCCTTATCTGTAAAATAAGGCAAACAAGGTTAAGTGACTTTCCTGGGATCACACAGATAGTGTCTCAGTCCAGATTTGAACAGGAAGTTGAGTCTTCTTGACTTCAGACACAGCACTTTACCCACTGCACCACCTAGTGCCCTCATCAAACAAAGCATGTTTTAAAAACTATTGCATGAAAGTCATTGGGCTAAGCCCTGGAAAACTAAACCATTTAAATAGGAACACATTCCCTGGGCTTCTAAAGTTTATCATCCTATGGAGGTTGGAAGAGTGTAATAATGAGGGTGGTATGTCACACACCAAAAGTTATAATCTAAAATAATACATGGTAGATATCTGTGAAAGACAGAAATACTTAAAAAATTCTGTTCAATAATAAACATTAAAGAATTTATAGTATGGGTAGATATGAATGATTTCTGAACATCATGATATGTATAGGTCAAAGCAGTAAAATCATAAATTGTTAATTACTGTTTTCATCTTACCTCCATTATCTTTTTTTTTTCCTTTCCAGAACGATTCAATGTGTATCTTATGCCTACACCAAATCTAGATATTTATGGGGAATGCACAATGCAGATTACACATGAAAACATCTATCTCTGGGATATTCACAATGCCAAGGTCAAGCTGGTGATGTGGCCCCTTAGTTCATTGAGGAGATATGGTCGTGACTCAACTTGGTTCACATTTGAGTCAGGAAGGTAAGAGCCACTTGTCAATGTCAAATAGGAAGAAAGATGTGCACCAGGTGGACTCTTTAAGGAAAGGTGATACTCACCATAGGCCAGGATGAACAATATCCTACTTAAAAACAAAAAGGACAAAAGAAAAACAGAGGCTATGACATGCCCAATAATTTTTTGTGTTTTGTTTTTCCTTTTGATGAAAAAAAGTAACCATCATAAATTATCTTGGTTGACTGGGATGTCCAGCAGAATAACTTTATTGTTCACACTCATGTCTAGCTTTGTTCATGATGATTTTAATATTTTTCAACCCCAGAGGCTCCTAATAATGCAGCGTTTCAGTTCCATTATGCAATGTGTCTTGCCGCAATGAGGATCAACTCTCCTAAAATGCATGTGTTCTTGTATCGTATTATTAATGTGTTCTTCATAGAGATGTAATTTTGGAAACAATTTTGCATGAAATAGCTTAGAGTATTGTTTTTTTTAAGTTTGAGGTAATTTAATACAGTGTTCATTTATTCAAATCACTTGGTTAATCGAGTTACTTAAATGTAAATACTTTTTCCAAATGGCAAGAGATGTTGGGAGTATACTTACCCCTAAAACAAACAGCCCCAGTGTCATTGCTTATTGGGTCTATTACCATCATTTGATCAGTATCTTAACATAGTATTGCGGCTCAATCATTTTCACAAATATATGTGTGTTTCATAAGCAATAAATATCCTTACATGTTGCTTCATATATAAGACATGCACATTCAGCTCAAATTATATCTGGCATGAATGTTATTGTTACCTACCCATAATAATAACCTTTTCACTTCTACCCATTGAGATGTATGTTGTGCAACATGCTATAGCATAGAAGGCATAATTGAACCGATAACTGAATCTATAATAAAATAAAGTGCTTGCTATGGAGTTTTACTCTATTTGACACAGATAATTAACATTCATAGTTGATAGAATTTATACTTAGGAGGAACATTATTAAGTATCTAATCCAATTCTCTCATTTTACCTTTAAGGAAATTGAGGCTGAAAAGTTGAATGATTTACTTAAGTGACACAATTAGTAAATATCAGAGGTGGGATTTGTACTGAGATATTCCATACTTCCAATCCAAAACTCTTTGTCTATAATAGAGCAGCCTATAAGCTGCTCACGTGACCCACAATACTTTCTAGTGTTGCCTAAACCAGATCAGAATGTAGTTCCTATCTGATTTTAATGTGTTAATGTAGTAATAAAAAAAGAAAGAAATATATGTGGTTTTCTAAGTCAATATGCAGTCCACAAGGATATTTAGGTATATAGTAACCCTCATTTCTACTTGAGTTGGCTACTACTATTCTATAGCATTACTAATATTATCGTTGTTACCTCCTAAGGCAGACCCCTCATTTCTGGGAAACTCTAACAGAAGAGATATGTGTTTTCCCCCCCACCCCTTACATTAAACCTAAATTTATCTCTTTGCAATTTTGGCTGATTGTTTCCTGTTCTGTCCTTTTATGCCACAGAAAACATCTAATTCCTCTTCCATGTAACAGAGAGAAATCATGTCCTTCTGCCTTCTCTTCTCTAGATTAAACATAGCATTCCCTCATCTGAATCACATATGGAATCTTGAGGGCTTTCCTCATCCCTGTGACCTTCCTTTGAACATTCTCATTTATTGATGCCATTCCTAAAATGTATCACCCAAAAATGAACATAACATTCCAGATGTGAAATGACTAGCATAGGGGTCCTACCATGTGGATCACACCATAGTAATCTACAGAGCTAAAATTAACATCCCAGTTTTCTCATTCTAACTCTAGTGTCCTTGCTATGGTGTTGTGTTGGTCTTGCATCATGTCATGGGAACACTGGAATTGTAATCTAAAAGCCTGGTTTAAAACTGAGATTTCATTCATTCTCTTGTGCATTCATACAGCAATCATTTATTAAGCACCTCCCATGCATAATCTGCTCTGACACAGGTACAGTGGGAAAAAACAAAGGTACTTAAGATATGGTCATTGTGCTTATTGAGTACATCCTAGGACAGTAACATGTTAAAAAAGCAAATTTGTGTCTCAAATACTATACACTTACTACAAAATGAATTAGAATGTAAAAAATAGCACATCAGAGGTAGAAATTGTTCTGTGCATTTTAAAGAAAGAAAGATTATTTCAGATTAGAAGTATCAGTGAAAATATTGTGGAAAAATAAGATCTGAGTGATGTCAACAATTGTATGACCTTGGGCCTCCCTTCTAAGTCTCAATTTCCTCATCTATAAAGTATGGATAATAATGCTTGCATTGTCTACTTCACTAGAGAATTCTTGAGGATAAATTGTACCTGAAATACTTTTGAAATTTTAAAGTGTTGTAAAATGTTATTTAATTTATCATATATTCTTATCTGCAAAACTGCTTTGTATTCATTCTGATTCTCTTACCATTTATGTTTTAGATAGATATAGATATATGTATATATGTGTGTATACATATATGTACACATACATATATACACATATGTGTGTGTATAATTATTACTCCAATTTTGAAGGTAAGGAAATGGAAACATAGAATTTAATTGCTTGCTAAGTCACGTTGGCTGTATAGCCAATTAGTAACTAAGAAAAAAAGGAGAAATCTAGTATCCACTAATTGCTTCACAAAGTGACAGTACCACTGTTGCCTGGTAAGTGTGTGTTGACTGACTGAAGTGATCTCAGAGAGTGAGCAATCAACTGCTTTCTCATCTAGGCATATCTATTAAAAAATGAAAATTGAATAGAGATTGAATGAATTCTTTGAATATATTCATTATTTTTAAAATATGTGTATAGATATTAAAGAAAGGTGTTATGCCATGGTGAGTAGAAGGCAGCTTCAGGGAGAACTAGCCCTATTTCTGACATTTACTAGACTTGAAACCATTGTCAAGTCACTGAACTGCTATGTCCTATAGATAAATATTGAAGATTGTAATAAGTTAAAGAGAAGTTTCAGGGAGTTTTCACACTGGAAGTTCCTGTACTGATGAAATCACAAGTATGAATAGGAAAATAGTTATGAAAAATGGGATATTAAGTTGCAAATAGATTCATCCAAACTCAGTGACCTGAAACTTTACTATTATTTTACATGAATATATGCATAAATAAATGGGAAATTCAAGAATCATTTTCTTTACCCTTGACATACATGACATAGGAGATCATATTTCTCAGGAGGTAAAGCATTTTAATAATTTAATTCTAAAGAATTAGAAAGAAGTAGCCTTTAAGGCAAGGGTTTTTAACCATGCTATTCATTGGCATTTTTAGTATTCTGAAATCCCCCTCAATTGTATTTCCATAATCAATAGTGGTGTGCCAAATCCTACTGACATTTGATTTCTGTATATTTTCAATGTTTGATATTTTTTAGAAGAAGAGGGAATGAAAAATAATCAATCTATTTCCCAAATATATGTCTATAACCTTTTATATTATGTAAATGCAAACAAAAGAAGAAAAGCAGTGGAATTTAGGAGGGAAGTTGATAAGAGCTATGTCTATCCATTAGCCAGTGTCTTCAAAACTAAGTCTAAATGAACTCCTGTCAGAAATGATATGGTGGAAATTATTTTAGGGGTATGGTCTGGACTAATTGGCTGCTGAGGTCTCTTCCTACTATGAAATTTTATCCAAGAGCAGTGTTTTCAAGATGTAGGCAGTGATTTCTGACAAGCATTATTGCTTGAATTGTGAGTTTGAAAGGGGAGGCAAATAACTTGAATATGAAAAGGAAGTCATCTTCCTGCTACTTCTTTAAATAAAGACAGATCCTCATCAACAGAATCTTGGCTAGGTTGGAAATGCGTTCAATCTTGGCAAAATGATTTTTAATGTTTTTTTTTTAAATCGTCCCTTTGGCAAGTAGGAACAGCAATGGGAACCTTCTTAGAAAGAAACAGTGTGGGATGGATGTCATGATTCATTGATATATTCATGCTGAATTTTGCTGCAGGCACTCAACAGAAGAAATACCAATGATAATATTATGCGACACTGTAATTCAATATTTTTTAAAACTAGTAGCAAAAAAAATAATACGACTAAAAATTAGAGTTCAAATTCTTATTATTAAGAAACAGTGAGTAAAAGACTTAGAACAAAGAAGGCCCAGATTCAAATCCTTCTTCTCATACTGAAGAGCTTTATAATGATAAATAAATCATAATCTGTCTGAGCCTCAGTTTCAGGATTTATAAAATCAGGATTATAATAACTGTAGTACTTATCTGATATGGTCATTCTGACAATCATATAAGATAAAGAGTTTTACAAACTTTAAAATGCTATTTACATGTCAATTATTAATAATACTAAGGTTTGCGACCTTAATTTTTAAAGGTAAATTCTGAGAAACAAATGGTAAAGTATTTTGGAAACAAGCCCCTAATCCAGATGATAAGTGTTGTGGTTGTTCAATTGTTTTTCAGTCATGTCCTACTCTTTGTGATTCCATTTGGGGTTTTCTTGGCAAAGATACTAGCGTGGTTTGCCATTTTCTTCTCCAAGTCATTTTACAGATAAGGAAACTGAGGAAACCAGGGTTAAGTGACTTTCTAGAGTCACACAGCAAGTGTCTGAGGCCAGATTTAAATTCATGAAGATGAGCTTCTTAACTCCAGGTCTTTGTCCCTATCCACTACACCACCTACCTACCCAGAAGATACATATTTCATCCTGTTTTCACACAATTCTGATTTCTTCTGCTGGGTTAACATATTCTGAAATCTTTTTTTCCCTCCACATAACTCAGTCATTATGAATATGAATACTTCTTATCACAACATTTATTAAGAATATTTTAAATGTCCAGTGATCAATACTGTGTTTCAATGATTGCATGCAGTAGCCTGTGATAATGCTCCAGTTCTAGCACAGGTTATTTTTTAATTATTCAGGATATTTTGAAGTCTCTATATTTGTAATACCAGGATTTGTACCCAAAAAACCTT